CGCAAACTTACCAAGTCTTTATCTGCCTTAACGCCCGAAATCCCGAACGCCAACCCAGCAACCCTACAAAATCCCAATTCCATCCCCTCAAAACTCCAGCAAACCCGTAGCTTTCCCCAAAGAACTACAAAACCTGTGTCCCAACTGCGACCCCTACCTCGTCCGCGTTGGTTGACTCAGGAAGCGCAGTGCTAACGACTTGGTCGATCACGTTGCGGCGATACTCGCGCGGAGAGCGGGTTCAAGATCTGGGGTCTGGTGGTTGAGGGCTCTTGGGACGGGTGCAGGCTCTGGATTTGGGGGATGTGTTTCCTTGGGGTCGGGGTTTCAAAGGGTTCAGGAAGCACGGGTTCCTGTGACCACAGCGGACCCTTGCTTCTTTTCAACCTTCTACCTTGCAGATTTTCAAAATTACATTGTGTCGTTTGGATAAAAAAGGGAAACCCAACAAAGACCCCAATATACTCTAATCCTCATTATAGTGATCCCCAAGAAGGTAGACCTAATTATGGGATTTCCCAGCTGAGTCCTCAATTTTTCTAGCCTGTTTAAACGGACTTCTGAAACTTTACCCCCATTAGAGTTTAGGATTTAGGGTATCGCTTTGTACTGCCCCTATATCGCTTGGATCCCCCTTATTTGAGAAAGCTCGAAAGACATTCTGCTATACCCAGGTCCTGGTTCTCCGGATTCAGGACCAGGCCCCAGAGGTCCGGGCTCTGGCGCTCCACCAGATACCTGTGGAATGGGGTCCTACAAAAATCCTGAGCGCCAGAGGTGGGGAGTGGATAGATGAAGTGAAATGCCAAAATCCTATCTCCGTTTCTGGTGCCTTTTGACTGGCGCTCTGTGTTTGGAATTGCAACAGGTAACCTAGAGGTCAAATGGCCCACACATGAGTGAGTACTACTGCTGCTAGCGGAACCACGCCAACCATCATGCTTGTGAGGATGCCTACGTTGGTTCTGACCCTCATGGCCATGAGAATATCATTACCGATCATTATCTTCACTGGTGGTCATGGTTGTCGCCATAGGTATTGCGCAGGATTATAGGCTCAGCCGTTGTCGTTGCCGTTGCATGGCATAGGGGTTTGAGATATACAGACCCTAAACCCTAAACCTCTAAACCCGAAACACGACCTGGTGCTCTCAACAAAAGCAAAGAGAACGAAATTCGCAAAAAAGCCTGGGCTGGAATAGGTATATGTTTAGTACAGTCTGGGGGATACAGAGGTGGACCCTGATTTTTGGCGACTACAACTTCAGAGCTCTTTGAATCCGCAAAGCTCAACGTGCATCATGATGGCAAGTTCTAGCCGTCAAACCAGAACTTAGCAGAAAGGATTACAGTACGCTAGTTATCTCAAAACCAGCCATGCTGACCCCCAGACTAAGAAGAGAATGCCTCGCAAATGCCTAAATGAAACCTAGCCCCCTAATCCAAACCGAGTCCTAGGCGTCAACTCAAACCTGTACTGAGCCCTGTACCGAGCTTGCAGACGGAAGAGTCCGTTGCGGTTCGTGACGTCGACGAGTTGCTGGCAGTCATCAGCAAGCTTGGAAACTTTAGGCCACAAAAGAGTGCACAAGACATTTTGCTTCTTGCAGGTCTGGGTGGCATTCAGGGTTGAAGGTTTGGTCAAGCGCACCAAAGCCTTCATTTAGATCAGGAAGTAGGAGCAGCCATTTACCCTCCTATCAACAACTGGATGGTAGGGCATCTATCCTGCAACCTAAGCAGACCGGCCCGCTGCTGTGGCACAGTGTGGCACCCCTTTATTTCTTGCAGCGTGCATCGTCAATGTGAATCCTTGTTGAGGCCTGAAAAGCCCATCTAACACCGCGGCCCTGAAGCTTCCCGGCTTCTAGCACAGGCGCCAGGCGGCGTCCGGATAATCCACCTTTAGGTTAGGACCTCACCCGATAACATTGACCACGAGGGATGCTGGTATCTTTTATTAGGTCTCGTTCCCTTCCGACTAATTCCAGTGGGTGGAAGGATCCCCTTAGTGAACCTCATAAATTTGGAAGCGAGTGCCATAGGCTCGTAAATCAACAAAGCGTGTGTCATAATGTTGCACCAACTTCTCAATGTTACCCTGATCAAAAACAGTGCCCTGGTACCTCATCGCAGGAGCCCCAGGCCCTCTTGTAGGCCTGGGAAGCAATCAACGCGGCTTGGAGATCAGGGACACTCTGAGCTTTTGGAATCTCGTCTTCAAGCTTCTTGGGCTTATGAGGTTCGCGGTTCAGAGCTTTGAACTATGTGACTTTCCAGGGGCGGGGGCCATAAAGTCCAAGCCTGCGTGCAGGGGGCTGGTCTTTTGATGGCCCCTCAGAAGGACTGTGGTCCTAGTAAGCTTCTTTGAGGCTGCATATGCATGCGGGCCACAAATTCCATGTAACCTCCGAACTTGTCATGAAAGGTCTCAGCGACGTACTAGTCTACCAATTGATTGGTCCGCAAGCAAGGGTCATGCTTTGCGCGATAAACCCTAGCATTCCTTAGATTCCAGCCCGCACCCATCACCAATCCTCAAGATTGATCCGCAATAAAACAGCTCCTCACAGTTTTCGCAGAGATTCCCCCAATCCGAATGCGCTCTTTCCCTGACCACTTTGAGCACTGGCCTAGGTCCATTCTGGGTGATGTACGTTTCTTAGACTTTTGCGTTGAGGAGGGTGGGATACTCAACGCTTTATTCCAACGAATTATGTGAGCCCCAAACTGACCAGCCTGCCAACCCTTGGCCGACAAAATCCTATATCACTAAACCTCTAAGCCCTGCATCCTCAGCCCCCAAATTCGGAAACCCTCAGCCGCCCACACCTGGATCCTAAACCCTACCTTGCCAAGTTCTGAACATCGCATCACTACACGCCCAAGCCCCCACCTCTAAACCCTACATCCTTAAACTCCGAACCCTACATCCCGAGGCTCGCAACCCTACGCCTACTTACTTGGGGACTCTGGGAAACCGGGCAGTGTAAGCCAGGTGTGGGTCTCGATCCTCGCAGTACCTGGTGTTGGCGTGGTGCTCAGGGCATATGGGCTGCAAGCTTACTGTCGGAGCTGGGTTTAGGCCTGAAGGGTTGAGGGGTCCAGTGCTGAGGCTTACACAGGGGACGCTTGCATCAAGCGCAAATGGAGGAAGGGCAAGCCGAGTACTTGGAAATGCAAGGAATCGTAATCAACAAGGTCGCGGGCTGTCGGAACGTAGAGCTTGGTGGGAGCCAGTGATGACAGAATCTGTGAACGGGGTCATTGCCTTGTTATGTGCTCGGTGCCTGCTTTGGCCCAGGAGTTAACGGCTTACGGGTTGCACGTTGCACGGTTCACTCATTAGGTGCTTGAGAATGAGGCAGGCTCCTGAGTCATACCTACATTTAATCAATGAATAATCAAACCTTTCACGCAACCCGTAACCCTGAAAGGATAGTTCCCAAAATCTCAAAAGATACAGAGCACCACGTAGTCCTGCAGGTTCAGCCTTTGGTCTTTTGAATCAGGTTGTGGGGCTCACGCGATTTGATGAGACTTTGGGTTGGGTTAAGTTTCGGGCGAAAGGCGACTCAAGACGGTGGTTCAAAAGTCTAGGCCCCGGCTTTGGGGTTTTGATGTGAAAGGCTTAGGGGTTAGGAAGAGGCTTCAGGGAATCCGAATGGTACATCCCCTCCAGGTTCCCTGCAACTGGCGCGCCAAGTCTCCAGGCAACCGGTGTCTGATCAATATCCGCATGTGACATTCTGATAATTCTGCCGAGCAGAGTTACATGAGGCATACTGTCCTGGGCGTGATGCTGGTGATACCATGTTCCCTTCTGTATGCAGTCCTTGTAGCTCCTGGAGTCTAGACTAACTACTTGGGGCACGCAGAGTGTTTCATATTCCGCGCAACAAACATGTGCATTACCCCGCAGCATGGAACCGAATCTAAACCATAGTCGCTCTGCGCCTGCAGCCCTACTCACCCAGACGCCCTGAAAGAAACAGGAAAATGATCACAAAGCAATGCCCTAAAGTCACTTCGGTGGTTTGGGTTGAGGTTTGGGGCGCTTCAATTTCTGGATCTCTTGAGATCTCTTGGTCTATCCTAGTGATTCAACATAAAAGCTGGATAACCCCCCAGCCTTCAAACATCAAACATCAAGAGCCTTGCATAACTCCGAAAACACCATGTCTTATCATTGGCCCCGTAGTGCACTTTCCTACGATCTTGGAGTCATAGAAGGCATTCGTCTTCAAGAAGTTCTCCGGATCCCGGTTGGTGTCAATGAGGATCCTCATGTGAGAGCTTTTGAATGGCAGGCCACGGACGGTTCAGAGGACGGGCTGCAAGGCGCTTTCAGCTTAGGATTTCAAGCAGCAGGTTGTTGTAAATAGAATGAGGATACGCAGACTACACTTGCCTGCTTGAAACAAACAAATTGCACTCCCCAGAACCATCATAAGTTGCTTGCTTCACATAGATCTCCATGCAACACAATTTTGGAGAATGGCTTGAGATGGCAGTTCACGATCATGCCCGATTCAGGAGTCGACAGTCTCAGGGGCCAGGTCCTAACCTGGAAACTATCCCAGCAAGCTTCTCAAACCTATGTAGAGAGCCGAGTAGTGGTGACCATTAGCTACAGGACGAAAACCTGCGGCAACGCCTCTGAAACTTCCAAGGAGTCCACAGGATGAGCATCTAGCAGCGCTACGGCGGAAGCAGCAGCAGCAGCAGCAGCAGCAGTAGCACGACAACGGCCACCATCACCAGCATCATCACCACTGACCCCAACCGCAGCCACCAGTCATGCGCACATTTACCACACTGATCAGGGACATCACGACATCACCATTCAAGACAGTTTATCCAAACTAGATTGTGGAGGTTGAGGATCTTGAGGCACTGTGTTGGCAACTCTCAGAGTCCTGGTCAGGAAAAGAAACAAATTGAACAATCCACAAGAGTACCGATCTTGACGTCATCAAAATCTGACAATGGCGTTCAAAATGGTAGTGTGCAGAATCTGACACGCACCTCGGGAGCCCAGACCCTAGAGCAGCCCAAGTATCACACCCGTCCAAAATCATCAAGCAGAAGCGCCGAACTAGGTTCCCGAAACAGGAAGAGGATGGATATTTCTCGAGCCTGCCTCCTTTCCTCCCGACAGAGACCGCAGAAGAATAGAACAAGCCCTAATAGCACTACCTCAATCAAGCATAGGGCTCTAAACTGACTGGCTTCTGAGGGGTATATACAGGGAGTTTAACGATCATCGTGGGGATTCACTCCCCCACTCCCCCTTAAGCTGCAGGAAGCAAAGTTGAAGCGACAAAAACTGGGAGCCCCTTCTTGGCCATGGCATTGTGAAGGTGAGGGTCCTGGCTTGTGCTGAGGGCTTCCCGCTGGGGGTCCAGGGCTGAAAGAGAACTGTAGGAATCAAGCAAAATGCATCAAAAAGAGGGCTTTCGGATCGAACATGTTGGTGTCTCTAGCTTTTTGGAGGTGTGTAGAGCTTCAGCTTCGGGGCCGAACTGGTATCGCTTTGGGCTTTTCACGTCTGTCATGGGGTCGGGACGGAAGCAGTGACCCTTTGGGTCTCTCACTGCGTAGGGCGGCTACGTAACGGGTATGCAAGGTTAAGGGTTTCGAGCTTAGCTTATCTTACACTCAATTTTGTTTTCCACCCTTTCCGCTGTCGAAGCTTTCTGGTATACAGGGTCTGACGTTGACTCGGAGAGGCTGTCAACGTCCTCACTGGGTGGCTGTGAAAAAAATGCACCTTTTTTGTGTAGAGCCTGCAGAACTACGACGATCTCGGGCATGTCTCAAAAACTTCAAAACCAGGCGGTAGAATCCGCCATTTTGAGGAACTCTCATGCAGCATCCAAGATTTGAGAAGTGAAGATATGTCTGGGCCTGGTTGCCCTCAGCGACCCGTGCTTCGAGCCAGGGCAGCAAGAGCCGCAACCGGTTCCTGCAAGATCTTCATGGTTGTATGCAGTTTTCAAAACGTTTCATGAGGTGTTCATACTGTTTCATGATGTCTTGCAGGGTGCTGAAAAGGACTCTGCAAGCTTTTGTCTACAGGGGGTTGGCAGATTTTTGCCAGTGCTCATAGTCACAGTCTTCTGCAAGGGCGCTTCTTGAGACATGGATGACCTGAGATTCTGGGAGGCCTTTATCAGCAGTTAGGAGGCTTCGGAAGTGAGGATGGTTTAGGGGCTTTCTGGCCAAAGGCCAGATCCCATGTGTCGTGTCAGCGTCCGGGTTTGGGGGTGCGAGAGGTTTAGGGTTGCGGCTCTGAAGTCTGGGCTTGAATCCAACTGCTAGAAGATCGGAGCACGACGTGAAACAAAGGTTGCCCAATGCTTGGCAGGAACCCAACAGCGTGAACCCCACTCCTGAAACTAAATCTAAGCAGCTTGGAATCTTCGCACTCCTGCTGACCGAGCTTAAACCATCCCGTGCTGCGTGCGGTTCTCACGGCTACTATATTTGGGAAAATGCTATCAGAATCATGGGGTCTTAGGGTTCTAAGTCCCGGAACTCCAAAGCCCACGCCAGTTGCAAGCTTTGAAGCATTAAGCCTAGCTGAACTCCGAAGCTCAATCAAACAGAATCTCAACAGATATGCATATGTATCTGATATGTCTATAAAAATATTGCGGATGCTATGGTCCAAAACGACACTTTGCAAACGCCCAAATGAATTCGGCCTATCAGCCTGCGCAGCTCCAACAAGAATTGGTTGACCATGAGCTGACCTTACAGAAACCTGGCCTGCATCACAACATGTTGCCAGCAATCAATGCTAATTTAATGTTAAGCCACAAGCCTAAACCAAAGCAAATCTGATCGCATCACATCCAGCTTCTGCAAGATGAGATCAAGGAAAGTCCTGAACCCTGAAATCTTAAACCCTCTGCCGGACCTTACACTGAGCCCCGAAAAGCTTCGGGCAAACGAGGAAACTTGGGAGGCCTCTTCTCAATCTGCTCAACCAATGGCTCGGCAGGGCATGCCGCTCGCACCTTCCAAGTTTAGGCTCTAGAGTGTTAGATTCATTGTTAAAATTTGAAGGTTTCGAGTGCTGGGTTGTGGGTGTGAGGTTGAAGGTTGAAGTCTGAGGGTTTAGTGTGTAGGGTTCTGTGTGGAAGGCTTACTGCGCGGGGCTTGGGCATAGGATATGGCATGTAGGCTTAGGCTTCACGGTTCTACAGAGACTCCGAAACAACTTTCACGATGTCAGGAAGACAGCCTTCACGTGAGGCTTTCTCTGCGTATTCTGCAGGGTATTTCGGGACTATGTCAGGGCTCCATAGAACTTCTTGAGGACTTCTTGAGGAAGTTGAGGGCAGTTTAGTAAGAATACTGTTCGGCGCCCCTGGCATGACCAAACCCCACGTATACAATATACCTTTACGTCTCCCTGTGAGCGTAGATTGTAGGGCTTGAGTTCGAGGAGCTATACAAGAAATCCTCGGTTTTTCAAGAAGTGTCTTCAAAATGTACTTACTAAGGGTTACATTCCTAAGCCATCGGTTGCTAGGCTTGGGGCCACACGCGCTACCTGATCTCACCTCAGGTTCCTGCAACCAACAGTCCCTACCTCCTTCAGCAAAAACATGTAAACCATGACACCAACAGGCCTCAACCTGAATGTCTAGTTTCCGATTCTTGTAAACCATAGCTGGACATCAGGTTTCCACAATACTTCTCACAAGTCAGTGGGGCCCCAATGGAGGCGCACAAAAGTATGAAACAACATATTTAAATCTGAAGCAAGGTCAGTGGACCTCATGCAGACCTGTAGAGAAATCTGCCAGAAATCCTATGTAACCTCTGTAGACTCTATCTCTGGACCCGATAAAGACCAACATCGAATTCCCAAAATTTCCCGTTCTGACAAACAAAAGAATGGGAACTGACTGTAAAGCCTCTCCCCAAAACCCAAAAACCCAAGTCCTAAATCCTATCAAAGTCTGAAAGCACTGAGCCCTAGACGTTCTGGAGCAGAGTCTTGATGAAGTCCTCTGAGCAGTCAAGGTCGATAAGGGAACCGATGACCTGACACAGGTTTCAGGGCTGCAGGCTCAGAATTTCAGGGTGTAAAATCTTTGGTCAGAATTTTCTGGAGGTGGTAGCTTTAGGTTGAGAATCAACCGCCTGAGTGCAGGGTTCTTGGAGGCCGTCATAAGGGTTCAGGGTTTAAAGTTTTGGGTCTAGGCATGAGGACCCAAAAACACACTGCCAACAAGGATCCCCCTTCAGAAGAAGGACTCTAAGGATGAAGTAGCGAAAGAAATTAAGCCCTAGAGCTCGGACAGATGGTTTTGAGCCCCTTTCATGTGCTGGCCCTTGCTGATATGAACTGTTCTAGGGCCATGGATACCCTAGACTTCGAAGTCTTGACCCGTCGCTTCAAGTTCCCCAAGGGCCAAAACCCAAAGCCTACAATCCCCTGCCTGGGGGCACTTGAGCGGGTTCACCTTGACGACATACACCTGCCACGATAGGCGGAGTTGCTCCGGGTTTAGGGTGCTATTAAGGCTTAGGGTTTAGGCTTAGGGTTTAGGGTGTGAGGCTTAGGGTTTAAGGTTTGGAGCTTGGGTTTGGAGAGCTTTGTCCTCCTTAATTGCAATGCAATGATACTCGTAAGCTGGTTTGGAGGGAGAATAAAGACAGTGTCAAGTACTTGGACACCTAGGTTTGACTCTTAATTGTTGGCTGTAGTCCTTCATCACGAAGATCGAACCCAAAGTTTGGCAGCTACTGATCTCATGCGTGCCTTGACTCTGTCTGCTTGAGCAGGACTACATGGGATAGAAATTAGATTCACGGTCCTCGCAAAAGGACTTCCAATGTATACACTCACCAGCATGTCCAAGGAACCCAGGAGATTTACGGCTCTGGAGGTTCAAGTTGCCCGGCCAACGTCTTCAGCAGCTTTGGACACGGAGACTCTTAACGAAAGCAAGCAGCAGGCGGATGCAGGCCCTGTTTGCCCTTCTTTGCATATGGACAATCTCGAGGTGCAAGATGCGACAAGACCATTACTAGCATGCCTTTGCCCATCCTTGTCCTTCCTGAGGCTTTCCACTTGTCTGGAATATGATTCAAGGAACCTTCCAGACACAAGATTGTGGGGCCAAGGGTGTCTTAAAGGCTGATTGATGCTGGAGCCTGAAGCATGAAATCGATCTGACCCCAGAAGATTTAAGCCTTCACATGCGCATGGGTGGGCCGAGATATGAGGGATTAGTCTTTGCTCGGGGGCTCGTGTGTAGTCATATGCGGACTCATACATAGGACCTGTCATAGCCTCGTGTTGTGCGTACTTCCTCCAAATAACGATAAGTCTCTAAGTGCCTCAGGTCCACCCCAGTCAGGAAATCATAATGCCCCATATGTCACACTCCAAACCACAAATCATACTTTGTATGAAGACCTATGAATCCAATGAATTTCAGTTCACCGACATGGCTGCTTCACATCAGTCCGTCCCCTCTGCAAGCTAAGGGGCCTAAAAGGCATCTGTCAACATATGAGCCCCCCGTAAGGCATTTGGTAAATGTTGTTTACCCTGTATGCCACCCTATAAGCATCCAAAAAGTCATGAGCAATCAGGAACTTAAGCCTGACAAGGTCCCATGTTTGGAGACAAAAGCTCCTACCTCAATGTACTTCATCAGCGAGTTCTTGTAGAGGTAGTCTGTCAGCTCCTGCGGCGTTCTCCGCTGTTGGAAGGATTATATTAATACTGGGGTTTGCCATCGCTAAAGGCCCCTCAGTTCGGCAAAATGCTGCAATGATAAGTTCAAGAGATGGGGGAGCACAGATTGTTTGAACAAGTTATGTAATGTTCAAGAAAGCTGTACACCCCGATGTCGGCCTGCTTTTGGTCCAGTTTAGGATGATATCCTGAGGCCACTTAGCCAAGCCCAAATGCGAAAGTCGAAAAACCTTGGAAGCCATGCGGCTCTTCAACCAGCGCCATGAATCCCCAAATCCTTGGAAGCATCTACCCTCCCCCCCAAAGCAACATGGAACCGATTAGTCTTTATAGGGCCCTTTTCGGTGTTCATGTTAGTTCGCGGGATTGTAGCAGGGACCCCTACTTTGGACACTACTATCGAGGCTCTTCTAAGGACCCATATGCAGGCTAGTTTTCGGATTCATTTTGGAGGATCCTTAAGTACGGCACTGATTCTGTGAATCCAGCACCCTCATTGTTGATGTGGCTTAGCTGGGAGCTCTACATAGGAACGAATCTGCACTCAACAACTTCGAGCCACTTAGCAATTTTTCCCTCCCACGTAAGTATCCATATGGTTAGGTTCCCCGAAACCTGACAGGCCTGATACACATGTGGACAGGGGTTTCACGCACAAGTCAAAATTAGAGCGACTGTTCGCGGCAAGTGGAGAGAGCGTGGAGACAAACCTAAGCGCGCTATTCTCAGCAATCGCGCCTGAACTTTTCGCCATGTTGACCTTGAACACTTTACCGCACACCCCAATTCCATGAGCACGCACGTTTACGTATTTGACGGCTCGTGGGCCAGCCTCAACAAAGTCGTGGAGGTCACACACGTAGATCAGAGGCCGCGGGTCGGGCCTTGTTGCATGGACACTGCCGCTGCCCTGACTTACTGTAGGTTCAGACAAAAGGCCTGCTTTGTTTGTATGTCATCCCTTATAAGGACCCTTGAGGGAGCTACGTTTGATTGATACTAGAACCCTACTTCCCCGAAGACAAAGGGTTCCCATCTATTGCCATTGTAATTTTTGCTACAAGGATCAATATCGCTAATGCTCTTGTTGTTGCGGGTATTACTACGGCCACCACCACAAACACTATCACCACGACCACCACCACCACCACCACCACGACTACTACAACTGCTACTACTACTTCTACGACGACAACTACTTTTATGCTCGGGCGATCTATATTTTGGGAGTGCGCGGATTACTAGCACATCCTCCAGGTTGAGGTTTTTCAGGTTTCGTGTGCGGGCTTCAGAGTTCTAAGGCTGCAGAGTGAAGAACACCCTTTGAGCCCCAACCAGACCCTCAAGCTGCTCTAACACTTGCAGTTTTCTGGACCACCCAAAAGAAGTAAATAACGGAAGGGATACCTTTTCAAGCCAACCCTGCGTCCACAGGTCAACTGAGAACCACACAACTTGGCTTCCTTCAGGAAGTTTTTGACAGTGGCCTCAGCTCGTAGCAAGTGGCTTTGCATCTTTGGCTTTTGAGGCTAGTGTGAAATTCAGGGGCTATCATGGGGATCTGGCAATGTAATTTGATCAATACCCCGTCATCTTCCGCCAAAAGCAGGTAACATCAAATTCTACAAAAAGTGCGAAGGCCTTCATCAACACTGCTGATAGAGAAAACCCTACACCATTGACCTGCTCAAGGCTTGGACGAATGAATGAAAACATGGTACAGGTTCACTTAACGAGCAGCAGTAATGGCAACATTAAATATGAACATAATACTAATGCTGGTGCTGGAACTGGCCCTGAATCCTGAAGGCAAAACATGCATCCTAAACCCAGAAAGAGCCCCATGCACATTTTCTAGAAAACCCCCCTCATTCCCTGGGTATTCACTGAATCTGCAGATTCAGGGGGCAGGGGTCCACACATACTCAACATCATACATAATTAAACCCCATTAAACTACACAATTTTCCACATTTACCTAAACCCTAAACCCTCAACCCTAAACCCTAAACCCTGGCCAGATGGGATTCCGGGCAGGGTCATAGACCTGGGACTCGCGGCAAACGCGTTCGACCTGTGCGCAACCCGCGAGGCTCGGTCAAGCTTTGGGTGAGTAGGGAAATAGCGTTATAATATGGGGTTGCAAAATACGGTTATAACATAAGGCTACGATGTAGAAATATAATATAGGGCTATACTATGGTGATTATAATATGGGGGGGGGGTTGTGATAAAAGGCAATGATGTAAGGTTATGATATAGGGTTAGAATATAGGCTTATACTATGATATGTAACTAGAATATAGGCTTATATTATGATATAGGGCTGTAACATAAGGCTATAATATAGGGTTATGATATAGGGTTATAATATAGGGTCATGATATAGGGTTATAATATAGGGTTATGATATAGGGCTATGATATCGGGTTCTTCTCGGATGAAACTACTGTTCAGGATTTAGGATTTAGAGTTTAGGATTTAAGGATAGGGTTCTAGGATGTGGGGCACCAGAACGGGGGGTCAAACGAAAAACACACGGGGTTGTTGTATAAGGATTTTATACGGTTATGTAAGACTTCGGATATACAGGGCACAAGGTTTTGGATACCATTTTGGCGAATCGAATGGGAGAGAAAGTCCAAAATGAAATGGAAGTTGAGGTTGCAGAATTGCTGGATGCGTTGTTTGGCTTTTTGAGCTCCAGGACTTAGCATATTGCGATTGTTGGGTGAAAGGTTCAGAGTTTGCAGGTCTTGGGCGACAATGATAATGATAACAACAGCAACAAGCCTGATAACGATCATGACACTACTAGAAATGTGTGAGGATCAAAGTTCAAACTTATTTGGGTTGAGGGCGGGGGTTCAGGTTTTAGGTTGCTGGTGTGAGACTTATATTTGTCAGAGCATTGCTGGTCAACGCCTCAAGGCTGCGAACGAATCGAACCAATTCACAGGTTCACACTTCGCTAGGAAAAACAAAACGAAACGCAGGAGAAACGGAATACCCCCAACTGGCATCTCTCGAAAGCCAGAAGAACTTGGAGAACTTGGTCGAGTTCACCAGGTTAACGTGATACAGTGATACTGGATACCGCTGCAGGGCCCAAAAATGTCCGGGATCGTTGCCCTTGTCATGTCCAGCCACTCAAAGGAAACATCCCCATACCCTACCCCTGAACCCTAGGCCCCGAACCACATCCCAAACCCCAAAATTGACTTCTGCAGGACTGCCCCAGGAGTGGCCCTAATTTTGTAAAAATCCTTGAACCTTTCATCCAAACCACTGAACTATACACACATATCTTTACATACATCTATATGTACAAATACAAGGACATCTTCAAAAAAATCCTGGCTGAAGATCCCCCCAGTACGCACAAAGCTGCCTCCTGCATGTTGCCAACGCGGCTCGCTGCCTGATTCAGCTATCTAAAGCCTTAACCCTCAACCCTAGAGGCTCAACGAAAAGATCTGCAAACTCCATTGTCTTTTCAGACACTTTCTCAGCTCTTCGAACTGAGCTTAGGTTTCTGCCTCGTTTATCAGTCCTTCACGCCAGGGTGACTTAGAAGGGGTTCCTCGCCCAAAACTGTTGGTGGGCACCCTCTTCACCCTTAGTGCACGAATTCATGTTCCACACCTCTCCTCCCGAAACGATCCCACGACCCATGTAACCCCTGCACATGGCTCACATAGAAACCGAAACGTGCTCAGCGCGGCTGTTATCGTGCTTGTGCCTTGGGGAGTTCCTGTTGCTACTGACTACTGCTAATACTATTCTTGCTATTGTTACCATTACCATTGGGGTCCAGGAGAGCTCGCTCGGTAGATGACACATGCAGATCATTTCAACGAATGCAATAGCTGCCGACCTCCACTTTCATTCATGCACCCTAAGCCCAAAACCGTACAGCGGGGAGTTCTTTCTGAATGTTGACCCTTTAATCTACAGCCCCAAGTCTCACCCTTGCCAGCCGAAAACACACGCAATCTCTTCCCCTTATCTCGGAGGAAATTCATGGGAGTACAAAAACAGAGGGAGCACGGTGGGCCTTTCAAATCCTGGGGGAAGAAATTGAGTAAAATATGGTAAGCACCCAGGACAGACAAACATCTAAATCATATTTGGCAAAGTCGAAGCCCTGCACCTGGGCCTCTAACCAATATTCAAACCCCATCCTATGCCCTCCATCCGGAATCCCAACCAAACTGAACCTCGACCTAGAAGCTAAACCTTAACCCCCGTGCCCAGCCTGAATGTACTTGAAGTGAACATCGGGGTCAGTGCCTCAGTCCCACCAAGCTCTAGAAAAGTTGCTTTGGGCATCCTGGGGTTTCGGTTAAAGGGTATATGGGGGTTCCAACATATGAAGGCCTTCGGTATACCAAGATACTGTATTTCCGATTCCCTGTTTCTTTTTGGGGCCCCATGTAATGAGTGTTGAGATGGTAAAAGAAACTCAACTTTGCTCAGGGGTTTCAACATATGGGGGCAACGGCTATACGGAGTTGAGAACCCTGGCTCTAATCAAACTACACACAACGACCGAAGCCTTACTTAACACAGTCAACGCTAGATCCTGCCCTGCCTTCATAGGGCAATGCAGTTGGGGACATCCTTACACGTCCTCTACGAGGACTTAAAGGCAGGACCAAGAGAAACCCCGTAGGCCCATCAACCACAGAAGCGCCTCCCAATCCTGATACGGGGGTCCATGCAATATTGCTGCCCCTAAATCCTAAGCCCTAAATTACTTTGAGAAACTTCTATGTGACGGGTTGGAAGCTGTGAAGTCCGAACCCCAGATACATCTTCTTCAACAAGGATTTGGGGAGGAGATAAGGGAGTAGGAGCATATTGCTCCATGAAAAGAGTACCCCAAACCACATAGTCGTCTTCAAAGTTTTCCAAATAAGATTTAGGGACATAGCTGAAGGCAAGGCTTTCTGTCTTGCTGGGGCATGTATCTGTGGGGGGACTTTCAAAATTCTCAGCTCATAACCTGCTTCAACGGCATGGGGAACGCCCAAGAACTGCCAGACCATGATTTACAGGACTCTACCGTGGAATCCTTAACTGTTCCGCGTAAATGCTCTGACTTGCCTTGGAAGGCTATTTCATGGAACCCCTTCAGGAGTACGGGACACAGTCGGGCGCATAATGGAACTCTCGGCAAGGAAAACCACTGGATGTTGGTTACCCCAACCAAAAAAAGATCCCATGAGTCTGATAGGGATCCATACTGTAAGATTTGGGGCTACCAACATCCCCTTTATCACCTCATACAATATACAACCTGTATAATCCCCAGTTTCCATGTCATTTTCCATGTTCTTTTCTATTTGATTCTCCGTTGCCCCTACATGCCTCTTTATCTCTCATACAACAAAGTACGGACTTATGTAATTAGGTGCGACCTCTCACCATGAGACCCAGCAAACCGTCAACCACCGCTTCTCGTGAGGCTTCACCTGACCCTTTGGGAACAAAGACCCCCACCATCAAAAGATGGCACTATTGGGAATGTTGATGACTAGAGGTAGAACATGAGTATCGGGGGAGGAGTCTATTTTGACCTCTCGACTTCTGGGGGTCTTGCTTGGTGGATGCCTGCCTCAGGGGAGCCGTAACGTAGCCCATGGCCCACCCCAGATCCCTATCACACAGTACACCGAAATCCCAAACCTGAAATCTCTCTGTGACAGTTGCTGGTGTTCAAAATCGCACCGAGGAAGTAGAAAATGCCTGCTCAAAGATTCGAGATTCGGTTTTCCAAGACAAAGATCCTTCTCGGGTGGACATGGGCATCCATAGAGGGATCGAGACCCTGATGTTTGATGGGCACTCCTAATGTTTAGGCTTTGACGAGGGTGTGGTAACAATTACAGGTCTGGGATTTGGGCAGGTCGGGCATGGTCTGGCGCTAGTCAAAATCGCCCCACCTCCAACCACCTGCCCTTCCACAGCCCTCTCCCCTTACCCTCCCACCCATCCCGACACTCCTGAATGCTTGCGACCGTCTACGCAAACATACTTGGTCAAGTCCGAATCTTCATAGAAGACAAGAATGTCAAGAACGTGGAAACAAGGACGCTTTGCGAATTCGAATAAATATCACGGCCGCAGAACCCTTCTCCAGCCTTCGTTGGAGCCGAAAGACTCAAACCTTAGCATGACTTGATAGGGAGCTGCAGGTGGGGTATCAAGGGCTCCCCCTCTTGAAAAAAGGCGACCAGGAAGGCCAATGGCACTTCTGTAACTTGCCCAAGGTCCCAATGTTAAGCCCTACTTATAAGACATGATGGAGATTATCGAGCTCATCCTGAGCTCTTAGCAGGAGGTGGGATGAGAGGAGTTGGCTCACATGAAGAGGAAAATGTTCCCATCATCTCCCAGAGGCATCTCTACAATCTTGACGGCACCAATCTGCTCGTGATACTGGATGGCCACCTGAGCAATGAGATGAAAGGAAGTCATGGGTCTCCGGAGTACTTGTGTTGCGAATGTTAGGGAATGCTGAATGGGGTTCTACCACAGACGTATGACTTCCTGCCGCTGTGAAAAGGGCTTGTGTGTGCAATTGCTCCTTGAGGGACTTCAAGAAAGCTGCACTGGTTCATAGATATGCAAATAAACATTCCTGAAGATGATAAATCCCCTTGAAGTCCACGACTATGGAACTCTTTGTCTGCATGACAGGCATAGTTAAACTAAATTTGTGACAACTTGAGGCACACAAAATGCACTTCTGATAAGTTCCACATATTCTGACATCACATATCCTTGTGGACGCACGAACTTCTTCCTGCATATTTCACCCTAGAAGTGAATGTGCTTCAGGAAAGCCAAGTCCACACCCCATGTAATCACCTCAAATCTGCAGAAACGCCCCTAAATCCTAAACTCCAAGTCCTACTCCTAAACCCCAAGCCCAAACCCCTACAATTCAAGCCCAAAACCCTGGGCCTTCACAGCAACCTGCAGGTTTTGCCGGTTGTGGCGCATCAGGTCGGTCAAGCACTCCAAGGCCTGAGCGTGTTCCATGCTTTGGGCTTGGGACACGGTTTGCGGGCTTGGGCCTGTGAGCAGTTTGGATTCATGGCTTAGGGTTTGGGGTTTAGGTTTCTGATGGTTTCTGCTTGTCACATATGCTTTAGGAGAAACAGGGCGAGATTTGCGCGTGTGTTAGAACCTTATACAGCATGATGCACGTAGCTATAAACATCTGGCACTCCCGGGTCAGTGTCTTGAG